CTTTTCATCATTTAATTCTTATCTAGAGGCTTAAGCAAATGACTCAAGTACTATGATTAGCTTGCCTTTTGCAGATGAAAAATTTGAAGTTCAGGGTTGTTACAGGCCTAACGTTGCCCAGCAAGTTGTTAATCATATCATCATCATCAGAATACTTATTGATTATCCAGAATCTACTTTGTGGCAGGCACTATACTGAGAGCTTTAAGCCCATTTGTCTTTAACCACTCCAACCCCGCAATAGCCCTATGAAGAAAGGTTTTTTTTATTATTAGCCATGATTTACAGATGGGAAAACTTAGGCACAGAAAGAGAAGGTTATTTATCCAAGGCCACACAGCCTCTAGGCAGTAGGGAAAGATTTATACTTAAGTATGTCAAACTCCTGTCTTCCTGTTGTTAAACCCTAAGTTATGCTGCTCCCACAACTTAGTGACTGGGCTTCAGAAGTCGGGCTTGATGCCTGCATGTTAAAGGCATCAAGTATATTTAAGACACTCACATCAATTAAAGATGTTCATCTCAGTCTGTTTTGACCTGTTCTCAATACCTGAGATTGCTACAGTCTACAAGCAAATAATATGAGCTGGAAACCTACTCCAGCCTCATTTGCTTTTGTTGGTATTGTTGTTAAATTCTTATTCTCTTCCTAACTACTATTTCAGGCATGTGCCCATTATCATCCAAAGAACCACGGCAGAATAGAATTATGGGAAGCTGAAAGAGAAGGCAAGAAAAGGGCACCTGCTGGTTGCCATGGTAAAATGTTCGAAGGGAGCAGGAGGCAGCCATTAGCATTCAGTTGAATGGTGTGTTTAGCCCCATCCATAACTGGAAGTGTGTTTACCATTTCATATTTCCTTAGTGAGCAGGGGCCACAAATCTCATTCTCCACATCCAAAGCTAGTTAATGGTTCTAGTTATATGTCGGCTCACACTGTTCCTCAACCAAAGGATGGGACAGTGAGAGTTCCCCAGTTACCCCCAGCTATGTGAGCAGATCCCTCACACCCTGGCCTTATAGGATTAACCACTTGCTGTCAGTGGGTCCAGATGATTCTAAGTTGCTTAGGATGTGGCCCGGGCACCCCTATACTGAAACTAAAATGGGGTCACTTCAAGCGCCAGGAACACTTCATCCCAATGCTTCCCATTTAAATGGCACATTATGAGCTGTCTATCCACCCAGCAGCCTGCAATGCTGTCAAGCTCCATTGCCCACATCCTGAAAATGGAGATACTGAGATAAAGGTACACCACCTACAATGTGAGTCAGCCACTTCTTAGAGGGAATGGAAAAGTTCCTAACCACAAGGAATTTGCTAAATGTCTCCCCAAACCTTCTTTCTCTGCCCCAGTGGTTCTCAAGCCTAGAAGCCCATCAGAATCACCTGGAAAGCTCTGGCTCCATCTTAGATCAAGTGCATCAACAGCTTTGGGGGTGGGGACAGGCATCTCTATTTCATCAGTGCTCCTCAGGGGATTCAACTGGGCAGCTGGGCAGGAGAACCATGGCTGTGAACCCCCTCTACCATCTCTCACAGCCCCTCATTTATAAATCTGACATTTCATCCCTTCTGCCAAACAGATTCTTCACTAAGAGTTCTCATTAGATAGTCAAACTAAGTCATTAGCATGGGGATGTTGAGGCCTGACTGACCTGGGTTTGAATCCCAGCTCTGCTACTTCCTGACTGTATAACTTTAGACAGGTGAGTTAAACATAACAGGCTGAGGTAATCTCATTATCTGCAAAGCAAGAGTGGCAATCGCGGATACCTCATAGGGCTGTCAGGAGCATGAAGTTCCTAGCACAATATTACTGCCCCATAATAAATGGTAGTTATCACCATACACAGCCATGGCCTAAGCAATTTCTTACAGAAGATGAAGAGAAGGAAGGCTGTCCTGGGCCAGTGTGTTTCATGATGGGCAAGTGGGGCAATGTCCAATTTTATATTCCCCAAACCCAGTTTTTCAACACCCAGTGAGAGGGTGATGTTTCCCCTTATTCAATTAGAGAGAGGCCTAACAGCAGCAAGAACTATACACTGGATATTTCAAGGAGATGAACAGTTTTGAGCAAACTTGCCTTTCTCCTTTCTGAGAAAAATACTAAGTGTGGGTATTCAGAACATCCAGATGCAAGCAAAAAACTAGGAAAACAAACAAAATCCAAAATACCACCAATTATCTAGCTTGAAACAACATACATAGATTCAGATCATTACTCTCATTTTCCGTTTTCCACTTGTGCATACAGATTCCTCACGACAGTAACTTACATGCATTTCATGCTTGTGTGCTGGGGCCATATTGTTTTCTTCTACAAACTGTCTTATTTATTTAATTTAATTTAATTTATTATTATTATTCTGAGACAGAGTCTCACTCAGTCTCCCAGGCTGGAATGCAGTGGTGTGATCTCTGCTCACTGCAACCTCCACCTCCCGGGTTCAAGTGATTCTCCTGCCTCAGCTTCCCAAGTAGCTGGAATTACAGGCGCACACTACCACCTCTGGCTAATTTTTGTATTTTTAGTAGAGACAGGACTTCACCATGTTGGCCAAGCTGCTCTCAAACTTTTGGCCTGAAGTGATCCACCCGCCTTGCCCTCCCAAAGTGCTGTGATTACAGGCATGAGCCCCAAATCTGGCCTCAAACTGTCTCATCTAATTCTCACACCAGGCCCTTGGATAGATGCTATTTCACGTGAGCAATCAAGGCTCAAATAGGTTAAATCACTTATCCAAGATTACACAGTAAGCAGTAATATTGAGACTTAAACTCAATAAGCCCCACTCAACCAATCTACTGTCCTACTCCCAATACATCATGATGACCGCATGGCCAAAAGATTGCAAAAGTTTAAGTGTAGCAGGCTCCCATCCCCAAAGTCCAGCTCTGCAGCTTGGCTGTCACCTCCCCTCATTCCCTTTCCCTGCTTTCTTTGAAAGGCTTTTGGGACATAGCAATAGGACCTTTGCCAGAAGTGTTGGAGTCCCACAGAAATGTCAGGTGACCCAAAGTCCCTCAAGCATCATGAAGTCAGCTTAAGAAGCAATATCACACCCTTTACTTCCAAGACTTTTCAAAACTTTTTCCTACTTCTGATTGCGTTCTGTCCTCCAAACAAGCATATAGATAGATGTGTTCTCATTTCAGAGAAGAGTTCAGCAAGAAGGGGTGAAAACCAGGGCCAGAAAAGAAGTCCAAGTGTTTCTGTCTCCTAGTTTCTCTCTTCTTTTTCTTTGCCTCCAGTGCACATCTTTAGGAGGCAATAGGTGTTAAAATGAAAACTAGATGGTACATGTGCTGCTAGACATTCTACTTCACCTCTTGCAGACATCACTAATTGATCTCTGCACTCTTCTCCACCAAGTTGGACAATTCTCAGCTATGGACTCCTTGTAGCAACTGCCAATCAACTGATGCCAGCACTGCAGAAAATGCATATTTTATCCCTGGTACAGTAATTAAAATCATATACTTTGGAGTCAGTGAAACCTCGATTAGAATCCCAGGTCTGACTGTGCGGCCATGGACTTGTTACTTGATCTTTCTGTACTTTAGTTTTTTTTATCAGTAAAATAAAGATGCTCATACCTTCTTCACAGAGCTATCATTAAAAGCAGATGAGAAATGCCTGTACAGCTCTGAACTCCTTGCCTGGCACACAGGCCCCTTAGTAAATGGTATTCATCCATTCTTTAAGAAACATTTTTAGGGGCATTACTATGTACCACTCTGCTGGGAACTTGCACTACAGGGAGAAGCAAATAAGATAAAGTGGTACATTCTGGTGGAGAGAGCAGTTTTTGGTAAATAATTTTTTATCGAATAATTTCAGCTTGTGATAAGTGGCATGAAAGAAAAGATTTGAGTGATGAAATAAAGAACACCAGGGTGGGGTGGGAAGCAACATGGGGCCTCTTAGACACCACAGAAAGTTTCTTCCCTTTCAAGTGCCAGCTGTTGAATCCCTTGCAAAGGAGAAAACAATTGGAGATGGGACTGAATGGTGTTTTGATGCACTGTGATGGCAAAGGAGGCAGGTTATTCGTAGTGCTTCTCCCTACCACCCCCCAGCCCTCTCTGATGTGACTGGCTCTATGCCTGAGAAAAGAGAAATAGCAGAATATTCAGCACTGGATTCATGGGCTCTGACAAGGCCCCTTTTAGGTCCCAGCTAATCTGCAGCAATCAGCCTGCAATCTGCAGAGCTGACCCAGCTACCCCGGCAAATCAGCCCTGGACCCCTGGGGACCCATCTTAACACAGGTCTTCCTTCCTCTCTCATTCCCCTCCCCTCCCCCACCCCCACTCTCACCTCCATAAGTTCCTCTCTTCACTTTCCCCCACCCTCCTAACTTTGCTTCCCCTTGCCAGTGGGTGCAGAGCCTTGGGTGGAGCCCTCTATCCCCCTTGACAAGTACCTGAGGCTAGATTGGATTTCATCCCCTGACTATTAGCTTGACAAAGACAGAGTTAAGAATCAATGCCTGGAAAGGAAACATCTCTGAAGAGGTTATAGGTCTGGGAGCCACCAAAGCACAACTTGAAGGATATGTGTGCATTCAAAAGGACAGACTCAAAATAATTATAACCTGCACATATAGGATGCGTGACAAACCATTTTCCTGATGGTCACCTTCCCAGCAATGTTGAGAGGCATTAGGCAGGAGATGATGCTAGAAGCTCATTAGTATCAGGGGTCTTTCCTAGGGCTGCTTAGCCTCTTAGCCAGTTGGAGAAAGAGCCAGGACTAAAACCTAGGTTTATTTAATGCAGTTTTCTCCCTCTGTATCAGTCAGAGTTCTCCAGAGAAAAGAATCAATAGAATACAGTAGAATATATGTGTGTGTATACATATATATATATACACACACACACACACACACACACACACACACATAGAGAGAGATAGAGAGAGAGAGAGAGAGAGAGAATTTATTTTCAGAAACTGGCTGACACAATTGTGGCAGCTGGTAAGTCCCAAACCTGTAGGCTGGAATTTCAAGTAAAAGTTGATGTTGCAGTCTTGAATCTGAAATCCATAGGGCAGGCCAGCAGGTTGGAAACTTGGGCAGGACTTCTAGGCTACAGTCTTGACGCTGAATTTCTTCTCTAGAAAACTTCAGTTTTGGCTCTAAGCTTGCAACTGATTAGATGGGGTTCACCTACAAAATGGAGGGTAATCTGCTTTACTTAAAGTTAACTGACTGCAGATGTTAATCACATCTACAAAATACCTTCACAGCAACATCTAGACTAGTGTTTAACTAAACCACTGGGTACCAAGGCTGAACTAAGTTGACATACAAAATAAACCATCACACCCTCTTTAGGACATTTTTATACATCAATGCACTTAATCCTCATGATAACCTGTGAAGGAGGTTGTTGACATTATCCCCATTTTACAGACGAGAAAACCAAAGCTCAAGAGAAAAAGTAACCCACCTGATCTCACACAGCTCAGGTATCTGAGCTAGGAAACTGCTTCCTATTATAGAGACTTCTCAGGGTCCTAAGCATAAAGTATTGACACCTGCATTCTGCATAAACCTACCAGAGCTTACGTGCACTGCAGTGCTCTTCGGCCAACATTCAAGCATTACTTCAGTTACTTAGAAATACCTCTCTTGGCCTTCTTCAAGTCAATTAAGGGATATGTGTAGGCTCTTTCTGGAAGGATACACACAAAACATGGAAGGTAAACCAGATGCCTGGGGGAAAGGAAGGCAAAACAACTTTTTATTATATATTTGTTGTGCCCTTTGAAATGTGAAAGGTGAATGTGTTGGTAATTAAGTTAATGAAATTAAATAAAACAATAAATGAATGAATGAATTAAAAGGAACCTGCAAGGATCTCAGACTCATAAGCACATCATTGCACTTTGCTTTGGACACAGAGAAGCAAGATGAGGCAGATGCACCAGCTACCCTGTTGGTCAACACTCAGCTCTCAATGACTTCCAGCTTCTTCCCAAAATCAAAACCACCCCCAAAGAATGAGCATTCACCACCATTAAGGATATTCAAAGAACATGCTTCAGGCTCTGAAAAAAATTCCAAGAGAAGTTTGAAAATCCTTTTGAGCCAAAGCAGTATCACTGGAGAAAGTATACATTACCCTCAAGGTGATGCTTTAAGGAAGAATTCACCAGGCTGTATTATTTCCAGATTTTCTTCTCTTTTTTGCTGTCTTTCTTTTTTTAATCTATGACATAGCAGTCTTCAAGTGCCTGGCCAACTACTATGTGAAAGAAGAATTAGACCAGGATTTGTGAAATCACATTCCTTCCCAGTCCAGGCAGGTCACATAAACATATGAAGTTCCCAGGGTGTGAACAGCAGGGAGTTGTGGGCTATAGGAAAAGGGCTGTGCCTGCCCACTAAAGCACCCACAGTCAACCACATTCACTATATTGTGCTGGGCAATGATCTTGTCTAGATCCAGATTTGGCCATAGTCTACCAGTTTACCCCCACTGAATTAAACTTTCCCTTCTTGGATAAGAGAGAACTGAAGCCAGCAAAGTTACAAGAAGACTTCAGATCATTATGAGAACTAATAAGCCAACAATGGGAGACACTCAGCAAAGAAGTAATTAGCTACCGGAGGCATGAGCTTCCTGTCACTGGGAAGGTATTCAAGGACATAAGTTAATTGTATGCTGGCTGTGTGGCTGAAGGAGTTTCAAGCATCCAATGACCACTTGGAATTGATGACCTTTAAATTCCTCTCCTACCTAGAGACTGATAAACGACAGACTAAGGAATACCCATATCTAGTTGTATTAATTCACAACTCTTCCTCTTTTCTCTCTACTTGCCCTTCCATTTCTGACAACCAAAAATTCTTTATAGCATAGATTCATTTTTTACATTTATTAAAAGGAAATAGGACATTTTTTCCTGATTTTTTCCATTCCCTTTTTCTGTGATACTTCTGTTTTTTCCCTTCTTCCTTGACTCTCTCTCCCTACCTCTCTCCCTCTCCTTCCCCCTCTGCCTCCCTCCCTAGTCTTCTGCTTATAGCCCCAGGATTTTTTAGGAAATCATTCTCAGTCAAGTGGTTTGTGTGGGACTTTACTTCCTGCTCCTGGCTTGGATTATGTGATTCAAGCCTATCCAATCTTTGTAGTTTTATCTTCTTGGCTACGGTGGTTGGTTTGGAGATGGCCACATGAGATAAGATGGTACAATCAGAGTGAATACAGGGATTTATGTGGTAGCTTCAGGAAGGCAACCCACTTTTCCACTAGGCTTGGACATGAAAGATGCAGACATGGAAACGTCAGCAGCCCTCCTGCTGCTATGCTGAGATTGAGGACAAAGGCCAGACGACGGAAATGGAGAGAGACTAGATTTGGAGTCTCTGGATCAAACATTCTCTGAATTGTTTTGTCATGTAAGATAATTAATTTCTTATTTTGCTAAAATCATCTTGAAATGAGGTTTCTGTCATTTGTCACCAAAATAATTTCAGTGAATACCATCTGCCAATAGCAATGTGTACCTCAGATTTAAAAGAAATTTGTCTGCCAAAAGTCCCCATGAAAATGCAAGTACTTTTGAGAGAAAGACTTCTGTAAGCAGTAGAATTTAAGAATTATAAACATGGCAGTAGCCTCAAAAATTTCCTTTGGGAAACCACTAATGATTTTCAAGTTTTATTTCAACAGCAGAACCCTTTTTCAAAGAGAATCACACACAGAACACTAATATATACATATGTCTTTCATGCCAGTTTCACTGTTTAAACTTGCCATGGGAGTTTTGTTAGGTACAGACTGGGTCCACTAAGTAGAGCATTTCTCCTACTCACCGTTTCCCCCGACTCACCCTAAGTCAGTTTGCTAAACAAACTCCTGTCACCCTCTGGATAATTCAGATTAAACATCACTTTAAGACGCCTTCTCTGATGTCGACGGTTCAGTGCCCCAGCAATGTGCCCCATATCATGCTGTCCTCTCCCCCATAGCACATACAACACACAGGCACAATCTCCCATGTCCT